ATTAAACAGTCAACAAACAAATTCAACTACTTAGTTAAAAAAAAAAATCAATAAGTCAAATATTCAAATTAAAATTATATATTTTATATTTTTAAGGTACTACACACCAATACATTAATATATTATACTTTATTTGTCTCAAAAGTATAGTTTTATTGTGTTGGACACGAGATTTAAGGAATATTGATATTATATTGGTAGTTGATAAAAAGTAATAGTAAATGACTTTTTTATCTTTGTGGGTATATTAGTGTAAAAAGTAGTGGCAATTGTGTAATAATAATGAAAAAACAGGAATAGTTTTATAGTGATATGATTATTTATAGAAATGGGACTATGGTTTTAGGACGGATAAAAATAGTAAACAATATATACATGAGACTATTGTTTTGAAACGAACAAAAATGGTAAACAAGACTATTATATTGGGACAGAAGGAGTACATACTTAAAATTTTTTATTCTTTATCCTAATAACATACTCTCGTTGGAGGCATCAATTCCCAAAGTTTGGGACAAGCTATATTTTTATTGATTTGATACTACTACATTTTTTTTTAATTCTTTTGATTATAACAGTATTAGCAAAAAAAAATTTAATGATATAATAAAGCGATAATCTAAATATTTTGAAGAATAAATCAATATAATTATATATAAAGAATTATTTTTACATAAAAATAAATAAATAAAATTTGGAACTAGGGGCTGGTACCCCTTAAATCCCCTCTTACATCATCACTGCATACTCTTTTTCTTATATCAAATTAATGTTTATAAGGTTGGATATTCTTTTTAAAAAAGTTTTTGAAAATTTCATTAAAAAAATCTATTTAATTGATAGGATGTATATGACTAGGGATGGAGAAATTTATCAAATATACCGAAATATCGACTTATTGTACCGTATAGTATTGAAAATATTAAAATTTTTGGTAGGTAAATAGCGAAATATCGACTTATCGTACTGTATCGTATCGAAAATACCGAAATTTTCAGTATACCGATAATTTCGGTACGGTATGGATATCGTACCGAAATTTTCGGTAAGGTATCAATATGAATTTTACTATAAAGTACGTAGGTGTAAGTTAAAGTGAGAATACATGGATATTTATAGGTTAAGACTATGCCAATAATATTCAAATCATATCTCTAAAATTTAGAATATAATATATAAATCATATCCCTAGATTTTAGGATATAATCAGGCTTCATATCTCAACCATATTCCACTTGAAGATTGATTACGTCTTTCACTTCAACATTATACTCTATCATCAATGACAACACCAAGTCTCCTTCTTCACTCATCAAGGGCAATTGAAGTTGAACACAACCTCAACTCATCTAAGTTCACCATTTTAGATTGTCTTTTAAGTTTGCTCATAAATTGGCTCACTACTCCCATTGCACGTGCTTTCCACCTCCTAAAGGTATCAAAAGCATCATATTTACACTTAAGGAAATATACTCATACCTCCCCTGTAACGTCGTCAATGACTGCGGTGTAATACTGTAAGCCTCCAAGGGTCGATATTAAAGTTGGTTCCTGCAAATGCGTATAAACCAATTCCAACTTTTCATTTCTAGGTCTCTCCCACCATTTGAGAACGTCATTGCTTTCCAAAGATACAGTCCTCGCATACTCTAATATCAACGGACTTGAGACCTGACAATCTTCTCTTTGAAATGAGCTCCCTTATCTCCTTCTCGCTCATGGATCCGGAACGAAATGCCATAAATTTGTGTCGTTATTTATGGCCACAGAACTGATCCGTCTTGCATGCTTTTCGTCGTGTAGAGAGTTCTATCTCTTCTCATTTGGGCTACCATAATGGATTCTTGGGTTACCTTCCGCGACTTAGTTTAAAAAACTGTCGAGTAACCTACCTCATTCAATTGTCCCACGGAAATCAGATTTTGTTTCAGACCAGGGACATGCCTCATGGCATTCAGTCTCCACTCTCCACCATTTGGTGTTCTGATTCGAACCATACCTTTACCTACAATTTTCAGTGTCTTATCATCTGCAAGATAGACAACACCAAAATTACCTATGGTATAGGATTCCATGATTCCTGAATCACTGCATGAGTAGAATGACGCTCCTGAGACCAAGATCCATGACTCCATTGGCGGCTGATGCTCAGAATTAGCACATCAGATATCTCCTCCGCTGTGTTTGTCGAACCCTGGTCCTTCTCCGGCGCTCCACTCTCTCGTTTGAAGTGCCCCTTGCAGTTCCAACATATCACCTGACTTGCATCTTCTTTGTCCTTGTTCTTTGGCTTCAACTTTGATCATTCTTGATCTTCACCCTCTTCCTTTGCCTCAGATCTAAATTCAGTCGAGACATTTTTCTAAAGGGTTAGTCGAACCGCACTTATCGTTTCCTGTCGATCTTCTTGTATTCGCTTTATCCATGACTTCGGGTTTCTCCTTCAACACAACCTGTAGATCTTTACTATACAGGTAATCTTCTATCTGCATATTTCAGAAACCTAAGTTCATACCATTGAATACCTTGACAGCACAACGATCACCCATCTTGACTCCCACAAACAAACCAAAGGCTCATTTGATATGAGAGCGTATCTCATCCGCTGCGTTTGCCGAAACCCTTATACTTCCCTGTCCACCTTGCACCGCCTATCACAAAGGGACCTGCTACCTGACCAACCAGAACTGTCTGGACCGACCCAACACCGCAATGAGACTTTCAACACAAGGCACATCTACAGGTCACAAAGGATTCCCACAACCACAATCAATATCCGATGCCTCTCAATCCACCTTACTAACGAACCAGGCTCTGATACTAGTTTGTTGTGACGGATTTGGGTTAATGATCGAATAACAAATAGAAAACGTAAAGAAGACATAGATCTACGCGGTTCACCAAAAAATGAGTTGGCTACCTCCACGGACAAAAACAGAGAACATATTTTATTGCAGGATTTGAGCCGCTTGGCCGCATGGCCTAACCGTATGGCAACCTGTCAGAATGAGAATACATATTTATTTATAACATAAGCCTATGTCAATAATATCCATTACGGTTAGGCAGTATGACAGCCTGTCAGAATGGGAATACATGTTTATTTATATCATAAGCCTATGTTAATAATATCCATTACGGTTAAGCCGTATGACAGCCTGTCAGAATGAGAATACATGTTTATTTATAGCATAAACCTATGTTAATAATATCCAAATTATATATCTAAATATAGTATATAATATCTAAAATCTAAATCATATTTCTATTATATAATACATAATATTCAAATCACATCCTTAAATTCAACGTATATTAATACTTTCAATAGCCATTGTACAGTCAGTTTCATCTGCAAGTGTAGTAATCTGAATCTTTAACATGTTGTTTTTCGACGATGGGTGAAGATTGAGAAAAAAAATAAATTATTCAACATAAATGAAAAACAACATACATATATATTTACATTGATTATAGTTATTTTGCAACAAGCTCTTAAATTTGTAGTGCACTACTTATCATGATTGCAAAAATAGACTTTTAGGTCCGTAAGGATGTTCCGGTGGTATGGTAATAGACTCGTGATTGTGAGGTCAATAAATCGTCTAGTGTAACTTATTTTGTTGGACTTAATTTGCAAGCTATTAAATTTAATTGAAAATTTATCCAAAACACATTTGAAGAGTAATGACTGTGGATTTCACGTTGAAATGGCCTAGCGGTGTGGATAGAGACTTGTTCCCAGGTCCAAACTTGTTGTATTCAACTTTTTTTTTTTTTTTTTCTTTACATTTGCTTCCCTCGACCTTGTCATATGCCGTAATTGTCTTCAACTTTGCCTTCCTTTATTGTTCTTGATTCATTGTCTTTCTTTTTCTCTTTGTGCCCTTACCCCTTTTGGGTCCATCATCAATTCTACCACAAGTGTTTTGGCTTATATAAATCCATCTACCGTGAGTGAGCCGAGTTCAGACCAGATATTTTCTACTACAATTTCCTACAATGCCGATCCAAACAATTCTCCTAATCAAACACATTACTGTATTTTAGATTTTGATATTCTAAAATGAAAATTATTGTCGAATATCTTTTATTAAAAAGTAAGGATTATAACTGATATTTTTAGAAACAAAACGATATGTTCAAAAAATTTTAAAAAAACTGGAAGTTTATTTCTACAATGCTGGGACGGCATGCTTTTACTATATACGCCATCCTAATCCAATCTTCTACTATACGAAAAAGGGTACTAGAATATAATTAGATATAACCAAAATAAAGAGACAAAACTGGCAACAAAACCAAGATTAAATTATACTTCATTGATAAAGATCAAATAAAAATATACTAATAAAAATTTGCAGCTTGAAGTTGACTATGGCGTACAGCTACGGCTACAGCCAGCTGCTGTCGGTGGACGCAGCTCCGCACCGACGCACTCATCCTCGAACTAATCGACATTTTCAGTTCACACAATAAATTCACCCACAGACCAAAAGCAGCAAGAAAAGCTCAAAACCACACCTCTTCCATGATAACTCACAAAAAGTTAAAAAAAAAAAGAAAAAAGAAAAAAAGTACAATTTCCTCTGCACACCATACCACAGTTTGTGGACATGACACGTGTTAGAAATCTGATTAGATCAGATTAGATCGACGCCGTTGGCTGACTAAAAGAGGGGCCTTTGAAAACGATGCCCAAACAAATTAAATAACCCTTTTCTTTCTTTGCCCGTAGACCACAACTATATCACTTTCTCTCTCTCTCTCTCTCTTTCTCTCTCTATCAGTCGAGCTGTGTTGTTTTATTGTAAGCATCTGTCTCTGGTTCTGATAATGTGATTCCAGCTGCCCATCGCTTTCTTTGCATTATTGGTCCATTATCATCATTAATGTGCTTCCTGCATAACCCCCCCCCCCCCCCCCCCCCCTTCTCTATCTATTCAGGGTTTCCATCATATAAACATTAATTTGTATGTATATATGTAATTTTTTAAAATATCTATATCACCAGCTTGCATACTGTTCGAGTAAAGGATCTGTGCTGTTCTCATCAGAATTTGCAAGAAAAGGATATACTTTTTTCTTCATATTTAGGGATCCATACATATATTATACATACACAATAAAAATAATTGTTGTGCAGGGACAGGTGGCATGTGAGATGCTTTTATTAAGGAGGTTAGAGAGGGAAAGGGAATGGCACGATTTAATTATACTATTATTTAATTATTATTATTATTATTCTCTCTAGGAAAGTTACTTTAGTGGAGTTCCCAAGAGCAAGCCTTGAATCCCCCCAAACCTTTTGTTAGACCAAAAATTTCCTTCCATTGTCGGTGAGGAAGGATCAAGAACAACCTGTGTTTCTTGTTTGGTTAGCCTGAAGAGGAAGAAGAAGAAGAGGAGCCATGGCAGCTGCTCTTGTGCTTTTGCTGCCCTTTCTGTTTTCCTACGCCCATTCTTTGCCCTCTTCTCTTCTATCGGTACAAATCTTTGCTGCTTCCTTCAATGGCGTTTTCTGTATTTTATTTTCCTGTTTGTGTTCTTAAGCTTCTTTCCATATTATGTGTTTGATTTTCAATCTATGGTAAAAGGGGCCTTAATTTGGGGTGAAAATGGTTTAATTTTGAGGAGGGTTAATGATGTTTTTGCCTTATTTTCAGGCTGTTCTATTTTCTTGATACTGTTTTGTTTACATTTAATGTGTATTTTAGTATTTGTTGAGAACACTGTGATGAGTCAACTTACGTAGCTTATGTTGAACGTTTGCAATTAAGTCAACTATACTTTTTGTTATGAACTACTCCAAAATCATGAATCTTTTAAGCAGGAATTGAAGCTTAAATGGAAGGTTGACTTCTGATTGTGAAGTATGTTAAATAGATCTGTGGACTTATGTGTGTCATGCTTCATTATTTAGTTGCTTATGAAGTTATTTTGTTGTTTCTTTGTTGACGTGTTTATGTCAAATATTACCTTCCTTAGACTGTACATTTCATTTAATTCTTCTAAAAATTTAAGAACAATAGCATAAGTGTGAGGTGACTTTATATGAACCCTTCTTAATAAAAATAAAATTCTAAGGCAAGTAAAATTCAAGAATTACTGAGGGTGAAAATTGAATTTAAATATTGGGGAAACTTTAATTGACTGGAAGTTCTCTGGTTTATCATTTTATCAGTATTGATTGGACATTTGTTTATGCTGATTTCTTGCAGGATTTCGATGCTTCGAAGCCTAGACATTCTCGTCTGCTGAAAAGTGCATTGCAACGCCAAATTGTGAGTAAGAGTTAGCTAATCTACATTGTGTTTTTGGGTGCTGAATTATGTTGATAAGTGTCTACACTGAATCGACACAATTCATTTTGTGTTGTTTCGTTCCATGTAGTCCGATGAGCAGCAAGCTGAACTGTGGACACCTTTGTCTAATCAAGGTTGGAGGCCTTGTGCTCGGCCATACAGCACCCTGGGTGAGTAGAACAATTTATAGCTTCAAGAAAACATATAGTTTGTAAAAATATTTACAAAATTAGCATCTATGATAGTAATTGGAATATATGCAAATTTAGAAAAAAATATGTCTGAAAAATCATTAGATTCTACAACCCTTTTTTGTTTTTTTTTCATTGAGGGATACTCTTTAGATTAGTTATAAAAGATTAGTTTATTTTATCTATTATAGGTCAAATTATGAGAATAATAAATACTTGCTTAAAAAACAACAAAAATAAACTACAAACTTGATTCCGTTATCATTATTTTCCTTTTCAATTAGCTAAATTTACTCATACAACTTTAGATAATTACATATTGCATAGAGTGCTTTTGTACATTATTTAATGTTGTGAAAATAAAATGCCTGAAATCAAATAAAATTCCTAGGAGATTAAAACTTGCTATAGTTGAACACAAGATTTTATTTTTTTCAACTGATGGGATCAAAAATAGAAACTATGTATAGGATTGGAAGGGAATATCTTTTGTGCAACAAAATATTGGGAAATTCTAAATTGTTCTTCTCGGCTATGTTCTTTTTTTTTTTTTTTTTTAATTTAGTTTCAATTTTTCACTATGCAACAATTTCTATTTTCTATAAAAATATAATATTTCCTTTTAGAAAATATTATTCTGAACTACTATTTAAACTAAAAACAAAGGTAAATTGTTTTTTCCGTTCCATATTTGTCTCTTTAGGACTCTAAATGTACTATGTATGGAAATTGTCCCGCAACTATTTTTTTTTTTTCGCAAAATGGGTTATCCATCAGCAGAATTGCCACGTTGTCAATGAAGTGGCTCGCCGGTGCTGTTTTGGCGTTGACGTGTCTCATTTGTCAGGGCCACGTGGGGAATGTACATGACTAAAACAACAGATTATCCAAAAAAAGAATTCCAAAAGAACATTTACGTAATTTTAATTATTTATTGAATATATATATATATTTTATTAGATTTTAATATATTATATTCGAGTAATAGCAAATGAAACAAATCTTAGAACTATTTTAGTGCATGCCCAAGAAAAGTTTTGAACTTCCCATCCCTTTCGCCATACCCTTCATTATTTTATTGATCTATATTTGGAATCTTTATAATGTGACTCAACATTTATTTTTATTTTGTGTTCAATATGTAAGTGTGAAAAATTTAGAACATGGTTTCTAACTTATTTATATTATGGCCTTACCAATAAAAGCATTAACTGTTAAGTTTAGCAAAAGCAAAAAAGCTCCTACTTATAATTTGCAAACAGTGCCTAAGTTGGGTTAGTATCATTCTTCGAATGACTCTGCAATCTTTTGTTTAAGCAGCACTGCCTGAGAAATCCGAAGGCTATATTCAGGTGTTCCTCGATGGTGGGCTGAACCAACAGAGAATGGGCGTAAGTGATTTTCCTTACATTCTTGAACGAAACAAGGATCAAATATACTCTTGTTCATATGATTCTTTGTGTTGAGTCATCGACCTGTGAAACTTTTTTTTGAAGATTTGTGATGCTGTTGCTCTTGCTAAAATTTTGAATGCAACTCTCATTATTCCGCATCTCGAAGTGAATCCAGTTTGGAAAGATTCAAGGTCCTTTTATTTTATTTTTTTATTTTTTCGACTCTATATTTACCTTCAAGTAAATGTTATGAAGATAAAAGCTTGAGCCTTATTCTTGTGTTTAATTCCTCTGCAGCACATTCACGGATATCTTTGACGTGGATCATTTCATCGACGTATTGAAAAATGACATTTCAATTGTTAAAGAGGTTCCCGATGAGTACTTTTGGAGCACCCGTGAGTATTATGCAACGGCTATTCGAGCCACCCGAGTAAAGACAGCACCAGTTCATGCTTCGGCATACTGGTATCTTGACAATGTTTTGCCCATATTGCAGACGTGGGTATCTAAGAGTGATTTCTTTTGATTTCCTCGAATCAAGATTAATTTTTTGAGTTTTAAATATACCCCTTGTTTCTCAGCTACGGGATTGCTGCAATTTCTCCATTCTCTCACCGTCTAGCATTTGACAATATGCCTGATGATATCCAACGGTTACGGTGTAAAGTCAACTTCCAAGCATTGGTCTTTGTGCCCCACATTAGAGCTCTCGGAGATGCTCTGGTTAGTCGCTTGAGATATCCTCGTGACACAACTGAAACAGATGACCGCAACTACTTGACAAAAGTAACCGATTTGAAAGACACAAAAGGGGCAGGGAAGTTTGTCGTCCTCCACCTCCGCTTCGACAAGGTAGGCTAATGTAGTCGGATTCTTTCGTGCATTTGTGACATAACCAGAAAAGCTGAATTTCAATGTCAATTTGGCTTCTGCTGCTGATAAAAACGTATTGGTTATGTTTCAAGGACATGGCTGCCCACTCGGCATGCGACTTTGGGGGCGGCAAGGCTGAGAAACTGGCATTGGCCAAGTACCGGCAAGTTATTTGGCAGGGAAGAGTTTTGAATTCCCAATTTACCGATGAGGAGTTGAGAAGTCAGGGTCGGTGCCCGTTGACTCCAGAAGAGATTGGATTGCTGCTGGCAGCTTTGGGCTTCGACAACAATACTCGGTTGTATCTTGCTTCCCATAAGGTTGGTTGTTCTTGATTTCGGTACCTTCACTTTGGATATCACTTACTATATTTATAAACGAGGCTGCAGATCTGGTGCTAATCTTGTCAAGTCAGACTGGATCAGCATATATTATACGGATGATCAACATATATGTATATATAATAAAGCATATGTTGTGATATAAGATAACATATGCTATGTTATAATATAATATATAATGTATTATAAATATGGTGAGATATGTATAAATATATGTCGGTAAACTTGTATGGCATATCTTGATTTGATCGGATAAGCAGCTGATCTATGTCCTATAAAAATGTTAGATATTCCCGATTTTATGTAATATTTATTTTCAGGTATATGGTGGAGAAGCTAGAATCTCGACGCTACGAAATCTGTTTCCTCTTATGGAAGACAAAAGGAGTCTGGCTTCTCCCGAAGAAAGAGCCCAGATCAAAGGAAAGGCTTCCTTGCTAGCTGCACTAGACTACTACGTCAGTATGCACAGCGATATCTTCATATCTGCTTCACCGGGAAATATGCACAATGCTGTGGTAAGTTCATGCAATTACAACTGTTATTTGAGTCGAGTGGAACTAAGGCAGGCTTTCGATTTCTAACTCAATTCACGCCTTTCTTGAGTGAAGATTAAGCTTTCTTGATTAAGTATGAGCAAACCTTTATGAGCTTTATTTACCATAGTTGAGTTGAACTTATTTATACTTGGTTGATATAATTAACAAGCTGATCTTCAGCATACTTAAGCCGAGATTTCAATTAGGGATGTTGCCGATTTGATCGAATCTGCGTATATAATAAAAAGTAGGCAACATATATTGTATTATAAGAAAACATATAATATGTTATAAATATGCTATGTTGTATATAATATATGCTGTCTATTTATATTACATAATTGGCACTATTTAACCCAATCTGCATGAGATCCACCTCCTATGCTGTTTAAAAACTCTACCCCTGTTAGGTTATGATGTCTACCAAAATCTGAAACACTGTTTCTCCCCTACCAATGAATTTAGTGAACCCGTGTCTTTGTAAAATACATTAATAACTTTGTTTTGATAATGTCTACAGGAAGGCCACAGGACGTACGAAAACATGAAAACTGTACGACCAAACATGGCGCTATTAGGCCAGCTGTTCTTGAACAAGAACTTGACTTGGCCCGAGTTCGAGACAGCCGTTGTAGAAGGCCACAAAGGCCGGCAAGGGGAGCTGCGGCTCCGCAGACCTGAACAGTCAATATATACATATCCGGCGCCGGACTGTATGTGCAGCAGCATTGATATTTAAGTTGAGGCACGACTGTATGTATATGTATGTATTGTGTACACTTTTGCAATGAAATAAACACTCCCATGGGATCACATACACATATACATAGGAATTGGTCTAATTGTTATTCCAAGGGAGTCAAGAGAGAGATGTTTGCATAGTTTGGGTTGTCAAATTGTTTGGAATACATTTTTACACCGAATAACATATAGGTATTGTTGTTGTAAGTTTATTGCATTGTGTGTTTGTCTTTGGCTTGTTGATTAGATGAATCATAGCCTTGCTGTTTTGGGGGAAAGTTTTATAATAATGTAGTGTTGTATGTTATTAGAAATGCATTATATTTATTGGATGAAATTTGTGTCATTATATTGCTTCAGTTTGAATGTTGATTGGATCAAATTTTGATAATGCATAAATGACAATACAAATAATACCATATATAACATATATTCTAATTATAAAATTAATACAATATATTTCTTCCGTCCGCCCAAATTTATTTTCACTTTATTTTTTAAGTCTGTCCACTAAATTTATTCCATTATTAGTTTTGGTAAAGTTAACAAATCTAACATTTAATTATTACTTTCATTCAACACTTATTTGCAACAAAGACCACCAACTTTATTATATTTTCTTTCTTTCGTTTACTTTTCTTTTTAACTAAATTTTAAAAAATGCATCCAACTACCTATATTTTTTAATAAAATATTTATTTTTCTTAATTCTCGTGCCGAGCCCAAATGAGCTAATTTTAATGGGCGGAGGGAGTATAATACTAATATATTACTACTTTCGTCCGGCTCTAAGGGTTTTATTTACTTTTTGCACGTTGATAACGTAGTACAGATAAAAAAAAATGACAAAAATATTTTTATTAGTGTTTTGTAATATTTTAGTACAAATTTACCAGTAGTATTAATTATGATATTGATTTTATCGCTTATTTCAGTATTGCAATATATCGAAAGTATATAATTACATAAATCATTTCTTATTTAGCGAGAGAAATTATTTCAAACGAAAGATAATTAATTTTTCTTTTATATCACTCGTTCGAAGTATAAAATTGTCAAAAAAAATAAAATAAAATTGTGCAATAATATGAATCAAATTGAAAAAAGAACCAATATATTTCAAAATATTATGAATGATTATTACATTAAATGAACTTTAAATCATGGTAAATTTTCGTGTTGAAAGTAAATTTTCATATATTTGTTCTATAAACATCATCTATCTTAGAAGTGTGGTTGAGTTATTTCTTATAAGTAGGGATGACCTGGTCCTGCATGGAGAGTGAATTTGTGACAATGAAGTTATGTGTGAGTATGATATTAGATTTATTTTCTTATTTCAATTGTTTTAACTCAATAGATTTAAAGCTTAGACATTAATTCTTGATAAATTGCAACAAATTATTCAATTTGGTTGCAACTACTTTTATTTTTTTGTTTTTTATTTTTTACTTTTTATTTTTTATGATGTGGGAACCCGCCGTCGCTATCGAAACTGCCCACTTGACTCCAAAACTCTTTATCTTCGTTGTGGGCTTTATTACTTGGTTGAAGTTGATTTACAATCTATAAACTAGTACCAGATTTTTATTTATTATTTATTATTTATATTTATATTTTTATTATTATTTTTTATGTAGTAGTTTGTGACTTCTCAATCACTTAGAATAAATCTTAATTGGCCAAATACATGTGATTCCACTTGGTTAAGGGTGCGTTTGTTCGGGGCTTTGGATTTTGAGTTGGGATTTGAATAGTAAAAATTTTAAATTTAAATAGTTGTATAATGTGATATAAATAGGTGGTGATGTGATGTTTTGAATGTAAAATTGATTTTTAATATAATATAAAAAAATAAAAAATAGGCGTTTGATTTTATATTTTTAAGAAAAAAATATGATGAATAGTGTATTTAAAATCCAATGATTGAAACAAACACACAGTTATTTGTGTTTTGCTACTTCATTTGTTCGCTTGATCACTCTAGCAGTGTGCTTAAAATGAAAGTAAAATAAAAATTTATTTATTTATCTTGTTTGTTTAAATTAGAGAAATTATACATGAGAAATATATTCCCTCCGCCCCGACAAAGATGGTGCATTTTATTTTGATACGAGAATTTAGGTAGTATAAATTATTTATTTAATTAATATAAATATCATTAAATTTTATAGAGAATAAAATTTTATATAATACAAATAAATGAAAAATATATTTATTTATTAATTATTATCATAAATTAATTTTATAAAAAAAATGTGGAGGTTCAAATATAAATAAAAATATTTGTTAATTGAAGAGAACAAAAGAGATTAATGAATTTTGAGTGGATCCTACATGTAACGTGTTAGAAATTTAATTAAATTGATTTATATTTATTAAATATGTTTAAAATTGATATATTCACTAAGAATAGAAAGGGGTTGAGAGGGACCAAAAGGGTAAATGACTCGATTAGCGGGATGGAGGGAGTATTATTTTTATTTCTCTCCTATATACATAGAGAAATCAAAAGAAATGATAAAGTGTGTTTATTTATTTATTATTATTATTACTATTACTATTATTATTATTTTGATATTTTGATACTATTTAGTCTTTATGATTATTATTATAAATATTTAATTTTTAAAATTACACTAATCCAATCTTACATCATATCTAGTTTATATTCAGATAAAAAGTACACCAACAATATTTTTCTACTGATTCTCATTCACTAAAACCTTTTCTACTCGATTAATCATTTTCTCTTTCGATTCATCCAAATTACTATATAATTTTTTTTAAAAATTTTATTAAACAAAAAAATTAATTCTCATGTTTTACTGATTTTTTTTTTTCTCTAAAATCCCAATATTCTTAATCAAATAGTTTCTTAATGTTATATTTTATACAGAAGAAATCATATATTTTTACTAGTTAACTAAATAATAAAAAATTGAAAAGAAATTGAAAAGTAACAAACTCTTATATATTTGGAAAAAGTGAATCAAGGTTATTCATAATTGAACGGGAATTATCTAAGTCTAAAACAATTGTCTTGGAAGATACTTCTTTCCCTTTATTTTAGTTGGAGGACTTTCCATGCTACAATTTTATTGATTTTTTTGAGGGATTTTGTCTTGCTTTCTTCTTTCTTTATTTCTTTACTTTGACATTTCTTTTCTTCGTTTATTATTCATACAACTCGGTAATTTGCACAAACAAAACTATTCTAATTCAGTCATGGATGCAAGAAAAGCCTCCATCGCGAAAACCTATTTTAGTTTTTTTTTTTTTGGATGATGTGGGAACTCACAGCCGCTACCCGAAAGTGCGCAATGGGTAAACCCCCGGCTGAACCTAATACCCTGCAAACCAGGTCCGACGGGAAAGTCACACTAGGCGAACCATGTGTGACAGAGGCGTCACCTATTTTAGTTTTTATTTGAATGGAAATAGGGATAGGGGCAAACAAATATGAAGCACGAATAAAGATTGAAATTATGGAAATGAATATATTTGAAAAGATGGATGCGTAGAAACAAATGCATGCTCATATACAAGAGAGGTTTAGTTTAGGAAAATCCAAATGGAAATTAAGACTCAACTCAATTTGCTTAAAGTAAAACAACAATCATCTATGATACCATCATTTATATATGTTACACAAACGTAAATACATATGACTTTAGAAAATAAGCAACCATTGTTCTTCATCAAATTTAATATGGTGTTGAAAACCCTATATGGTCTGTGATAGACTTTGTTGATGATGTCGAATAATATCGAGTGGATTACTTAAGTCTATTCTTGCATCTATAGATTATGAATTTTTTTTTTTTTTTTTTTTTTTTTTTTGTATGGAGAATTATCATGGTAAAATAAAAAAATAAAATTTCGTATTGAATTATTTATTATTCTTTTAGAGAATACACTACAAAAAGTTGACATTTAGCTACGAAAAAATTTATAGCAAAAAGTATTGATTTCGTAGCGAAAAGGCTTTTGCAACAAAATAAATGTTGTCGTCTGTTTCATCACCTATATCGCGTTATTAATGGTCTTTGGCAACAAGTTTGACTTACTAAAAAAAAAATAAAGTTTTTGCAATGAAAGTGTGGAAATAAAATTTACCTACAAAAATAAAATTTTGTAGCTAAAGCTATAGATTTACCTATATATTGGTTAACTATTCAGTTACGGTGTTGATTTCTCTAAATATTATCGATCAAAGATTCAAATATCATTGATCAAAAGTGCAGATAATACATGCTATGTAACCACGTAATTAGTTTCATATATTTTTATGATCTAATCAGTTTCATTTATCATGGCTATGTTTTCCCAGGCAAACTTCAAGAAACAATTGATTGCCCATATCAGATTGTTTGAAACAAATCGAGGAATCAAAAAGTGTTATTAGTGATCCTTAAAAGCTTGGATGCATTTATTTAGCATGGTTTTGATCGATTGAAGTAAATTAAATGAACTTGCGTAAATTTAGCACATGTTATCCTCTGAAAATTTGTCTCTCATCACTTAAATTTCTCTCTGTGAATCCTATAGAATTCAATTCTCCATTCTTGTGACGTCTTGGCTTTAGAGGTGTTTATAATTTATATATCACTTTGTGATAATGTTGGCTAATGAAAGTTTATTTATTTTGTATAATAGTTCTAGTCATTTATACTAGTAAATGTTTGTGGTAACTTTATTATTATTATTATTATTATTATTATTATTTTATAGCGTGGGAATCCGCAGCACTATTATTCGAGTGTGTTTTGAGTAAACTTCCGACCGAACTTAATAGTTTGCAAATTAGGTTCGACAAGACAAATCACACTAGTATATGTGATATTAACTTGGTCTATATTATGTATGTCTATACGTATTTTTATTAGACTATCAAAGGTTACTTATAGACTCTTCTAAAATAGGAGTTTCTCAGAAATTGTTACAATTACGTTGGTTTTGAGTTAGTTATATTGGATTGATTAGTACAAGTAATACATATTAGAAATCTCACTTTTGAATGGTTTTGTTTGGATTATTATTTGTATTTTGTTATTATAACTTTTATTTTTTGCCACATTGCAAGTGTTTAGATTCATTAGTACAAGTATGGCAATTTCTAGACTTTGCAATGTGTATTTTTAGTACGAGTATGGCTTATTTTGTAGCTCATTATTGTTATTTTTAAATCTTTTGGAGTTTATTTGTTTAT